AAGCTTTTGAAGTATAAATTTTTATGCTTTTATTATTATTATTATTAATAATAATAATAATGATAATAATAATAATAATAATAATAATAATAATAATAATAATAATAATGATGATGATAATGATAATAATAATGATAATAATAATAGTTCAATCAGGGGTCGCCACAGCTGAATGAACCGCCAACTTATCCAGAATATGTTTTACACAGAGGATGCCCTTCTAGCTGCATAAAAAATAGGAATAAAAATAAGAATAATAACAATAAGTCTAGTTTTGTGTAGAGAAGAGAAGCCAGTGCGTTTTGAAAACGTAAATATTGGGGCCTTTGAATATTGTGGACAATGGGGGGCCCTGGAGTCAAAAAGGTTGAGGAACACTAATAATAACACTTCTTTCTTACTTTATTTCATTGTGCACGGTAACACAAAGACGTTGCCAAATCATGTGTCATCGTTGAACATCGCATTTTATTTATCAACATTACAACAGTGTGTATGCAAATTCCCTTAAAATAAATGTCCAATTGTACTCATTCTTTCAACTCCTACGCGTATGCATATGTGTCGGGTGTTCTGATTGGTCGAGAGCCTGGTTTCCTATCTGAAGACAGCACAGCGCGGAGAATCATACACGCCTCTCCAGATAACAGCTGTGTGGACGCGACATTAACACCACTGAGGTTTGTGCTATTATACTTTATTCTTGGTTGGATTCATATTACTTCTTATTCCTATTTGTTGTATTGAATTGCCCTGAAGACCGTAGAATCATGCGTGATAATAAATTTATCAAAGATAAGATGTAAATGGATGCGTTAATGCTCAGCCTCATCTTGCATGCTCAGTTTAACACAACTGTATTCATGATGACACGACAAGAGGATTTATTTTTATGCGTGCTCGTTGCAAGAGTAGTGGTGGGAACTCCAACTCATTTCCGGGAGTCGGTTCTTTTGAACAGTTCGTTTTTTGAGAGTCCTCACGTGGTTTCTGCCATACCATAGTGGCATATGCAAGTAAACAGTAAACACGTGTTGCATTATTCGCTACTAATAAACACATGCTATACACATACATTATGGTTTGGTCTATGTGCCTCTCACCACCGATAATTTGTGTCATTTCTAGTACTGATTCGTTTGTTAATGTTTTTCCCTATCAGTCAAACTATCTGTTCTTGCCAAACTCTTCTCGCCATATCGAGTCGATCATGAAGTTATCAGTTAATTGTCGTTGATATTTTTTTATAGCAGAGTAGACCAGTCTGAAAATATCCACTCTATGCACTCTGCACAACAAACAGAAAGAGACAACAACAACATGATGATGAGGATAAATATAACACAAGGAATATTAAATAAAATGAATAATAATAAGTAGAGCACATAAATAGTACAACTTTCCATGCTAAGAACTGTTATCCCAACTTTAGTGAGTTTTTTTCTGCCAAGACAGTTGAGGAAAGGGTAGTCCCCTTTCTAGTTTTTTTTTATGTTTTGTCTTTAGTGTGTAGGGCTGTGATACTTGGATAAAATATCTAATTGCGATTTTTTTGGGCAGATATTCTGATTGCGATTTGATTTAATTCAAGCTTCAAGCTGATTTTTATTTAATTCAATCTTCAGCTCAATAATCTGTAATCTGTAATAATCAGTTGTGCTTCCTACTTTTTTAGTGACAGCCTGACAGGTAGGAAAATTTAACAGGTACACCAGCACAGTGGAATAAAGTGAGACCTTTGAGATTAAGTTGGAAATTATTTGCTCAAGCCTAATAAACAGGTCCCTGATAGAGAACAGCAGAATAATTTCTCAATTTTTTGGAGACACAAGTCCAACATGTTTGAATCTTCATACAGTCCAAAAACAGTGAAAAAGAGTTCCTTTCATAACACAGTTTTTATATTGATGTTAATTTACTCACATTAAGCCTACCAAGATAATGTGACTTTATTTTCTTCAACTGAATTTTAAAGAGGACTTATATCTGAAAATGTGGTCATTAATTCATAAAATGCAAGTCAAAAGCCACAGGTCCTTAAAGTCCCCATGAACCAGAAGCAACGACCGTTATTTTACGGAATATTAAATGAGCAAACAGTGGGCATGACTTTTTTTTTACTACTATGAGATGAATGGATGTAGTAAAGTAGGCATTTCATTCAGAAAGATTGGGAAAAGTGTTTGGGGATAGTTATTACAACCTAACAGAATTCTCCTGCTCACCATTTTTTTTCATGTTTGTTGTCAAAACTTACAGTTGGAGCAGAGAATAAACATGTTTGCATTTACTAAGATATACGTAATCTGACATTTTAACTGAAAAAAACAAACAAAAAGTGCATTTTCAGCTTTCAATTAAAGATTAGAAGGGAAAACAATTTATTTTCTTAATGACATGTGCAAATGAAATGTTCACGACAAAACTAGCAATGTGAGCAAACAAAATATATTTAGTTTTGATTTCTTGAGGACTTTATGAGTAAAGAAAAGTAAATCAATAGGCCTATTTGTGTTTGCACCTTCAAACAATCAGTTGAAGCTCAAACTAAAGTCTAAAAAAATCTATTTATTATGCAACAGGAATTAATGTTTCCCAGGAAGGGCATCCGCTGTGTAAAACACATGCTATAGATAAGTTGGTGGTTCATTCCGCTGTGGCAATCCCTGATTAATAGAGGGACTAAGCCGAAAAGAAAATGAATGAATGAATGAATGAATGAATGAATGAATGAATGAATTTTGCGACAGGAGTTCCAGCTGTCATAATACCAATTAAATTAGATTATGCTGCAAATGTTAAATTCCAATGGCTTCAGTTCATAAGACCTCAGTGGATTATCACAAGTATTTTATGTTTTGTCCAGAAAATTATTTTCACTCTCAAAGTGCTTATAAATGAACAGCAAATTTTTGCTTCTGGGTAAACTGCACCTTTAAATAAAGTGATTTGTTGGCTCCAGAAGTGTTCGTACCGAGCGAATCGTTTAGAGTTGTTGTGTGAACCGGCTCGATCGATTCACTTAAAAGATCCGACTCAAAAGAACGAATCAAATCACGAAGCGCTGAAGAGAGCGCGTCCGCCTTTGCGTGTTAAAAACGAAATCGTTTTTTTAAACGTATAGATAATTTGAATAATCCATAAGATTTCTTTAGTACCACTCTGGCATTTTAATGGCTGAAGTTGAGCTGAGGTTTATTTTTACAAGCTATGGTGTGAACACAAAGAGAGGGGCGGTGATGCGTGCGTTTGGAGACGCTTGTCGGAGCCGCGCGCGCTCTTTTGTTAGTTAATTAGCTAATACACAACGGAATCGGATAGAGAGACAATGCAGCCCTTGTCCAAGGCATGTAGTGTCATCCCTCCTTGTTGTTTAACCTCATGTTTGCTCGTCCAGATCACTGGCCACCACAAATTAGGTGCAGACATCCTGAACTAGCCATTTAACTACATTTCTAACCATTTAACTGTCACAGACAGGAAAACAAATGCTTTTAGCGAGCAAATATGAAACGAATGACACAAATTAGTTTGATGCAAAAAGTGTGTTGACTTGGTCTATTAAAGGTTTATAGAACAGAACATTATGCAACAGGTCTGGATACAAGAAGACCTCATAACACACTTAATTTGGCCTCGTTTTGATTATGCAGATGGGCCTATGTTTGGATTTTTAAACATGTTGGGGGAATTATATGTGTCACCAGATCAGACAGACTCACATACTATTGGTATAGAATAATGATGATATAATATATATATATATATATATATATATATATATATATATATATATATATATATATATATATATATATATATATATATATATGGTTAACAGGTTATTTTACCCAGAAATAAAATTTACTCATCCTTAAGTGGCTATACAGTAAGCCTTTATGAATAGCTTTCTTGAACACAAAACAAGATATTTTGATGAAAGCTGAAAATCTGTAACCATTGGCATCCATAGGAAAAACAAACAGTGAAGTCAATGGTTACATATTTAAATCTTTTTAAAGATTTTTTTTTTCTGTGTTCCACAGAAGAAAGAAAGTCAACAATATTTTGAACAAGGGAGAGTAAATGATGACAAAACTTTCCATTTAACCAGGTTTTGCATTACATGTTGGTATTGTTCTGTTTATGTATTCTGTATATATCTGTAGTGAATCTTGTGGAAAATGAGCAGCAGACACGCTCTGGAGACTGGAATGTTTGGAATTTTGGCAGTCTAGTGGTCTGAGGTTATGCTGTTTTCATTTCCTTCTGTTTCTCCTCTTATTCATAAAGACAGTCTATTCAGCATCGTTAGTATTTATGGTCGTGTTTGACTTCCCTCTCAAGAAACCAGATAGATATTTAAACGTCTTGTTTTGTTGCATTCACATAGTTCGAATGTTCTGATATCTGATTGTTTAAAAGGGATTCTTCTTTTGAAATTATACAATATATGCTACATAATTATAATCTTTGCCTCTTGAGGATGGTTGACCCACCCCATAATAACACCTGTTGCTGTGGTTACCTATAAAAATGAGACTTCCCATCACAACACAATAAGATGACACAATAGACTAAAATATAAAAGAGCCTGCCTCATATTTCACATCTTCTGAAACTGATATCTGTTTCTATTGTGAGTCCTTTTATCTCAACTCTCTTTTCTGGCATCATATATATGTTTTGTATTATGTGCTGCTCCACTTTTAAACTCGAATGATTTGGGTGTAGTTTGACTTGGAATTGTTCAAACATGACCAAGCCCATTTCAATACATGCTCTAGCCTTCTAGAGTCTCTTTATTCTTTTACTTTATAAAAGAGTAACTAAGTGCAGCGCTGTCACCTCACAGTAAGAAGGTCACCGATTGGGTCAGTTGGCATTTCTGTGTGGAGTTTGCATGTTCTCCCCGTGTTGGTGTGGGTGTCCTCCAGGTGCTCCGGTTTCCCCCACAAGTCTGAAGACATGCAGTACAGGTGAATTGGGTAGGCTAAATTGTCCATAGTGTATGAGTGTGAGTGAGAGTGTATGGGTGTTTCCCAGTGATGGGTTGCAGCTGGAAGGGCATCAGCTGCATAAAACATATGGCAACCCCTGATTAATAAAGAGACTAAGCCGAAAAGAAAATGATTTAAGTGTAACTAAGAAATCAGGTGATCAAATATCCCAAAATTGCATGATGAAAAAACATAAATATTGTGCATATAGTTGTTGTGAGTGTTATTGTTAAAGTAGTAGTTCAATCAGAAATTTAGATCAAAAGTTATTTACCCTCATGGCTAAGATGCAGGTCACATTTTTCATTTGAACTATAAAGAAGAGTTTTAGCTGAAACTGTGGTCCTTCGTGATTCATGTATTGCAAGTCAAAGGTGACCAGTTTTTTGATAGTCAAAAAAAAAATAAAAATAATAATATAAGATACCATACTCACTTTTCTTTTTCTGTAAGAACACGTTTTTGAAAATTTGAGCACTGGAAACAGCAACACAAATAGTAACATTTTTGGTAACACTTTAAAATAATAGTCCATTATTTAATATTAGTTATTTACTAACATTAACTAAGCATCAGTAATCTTGTAAAGCATTTTTTATTAATCATAATTCAACATCAACTAATGCATTGTTTAAACACATTGTTGTGCTTGTTTACATTATAGTTTATACACTGTGATT